GCCTATAAACCAGGCAGCAAAGCCCTGGGTAACAACACAGCCATCTCCGGAAGCAAAAGAAATGCCAGTCCCCTGTCAGAGCAGGAGGGACCCATCCCCAAGCCCAGAAGTGACTGACGGCAGTGGGGACTGAGTCCTCCGGTACTGGCTTCCCAGGGGTCCCTGAAATGAAGGTCGGGGGCTGAACAAGTCCTCAAGAACTCTGAGGCCAGAAATGAGGTCAAGGACCAGGAAGGTGTCAGCCCTCAGCCCATTTTTAGGACCCAGGTGTGCCGGTCCTCCTTGCTTGCCCCCTGCACCACCACCTCCACCCGGCTGACATCAGGTGCAGGAGTGTCAATGGTGTCTGGCAGGTTGGTGGGGAGATTATGTAACAGGAGGGGTTGGGGGCTGGAAGGGGGAAGGGAGGCAAAGACTCTCAGGGAGAAGGTAAGAGAAGAGGAATGGAGAACCGGGGCAGGAGAGGCGCCCTTGCCCAGGGCATGCTAGGGAGATGTGGAACAGAGGAGCAGCCTGGCTAGAAGGCCTCTCAACTGGCCTGTCCCTCCAGCCAAGCAAGGGTCTCTGAGGAGCCTGTTCTATCTGCTCCTCCCATGATAAGGTGAGCAGAGATGGGTCCAGCTGTGGCAGGTGGCCTCTGCCCTGACTCTTCTAGCTTCCCTTACCATCTGCCTTCCTCTCACCTGCTCCTCCCACCACTCTGTCCCTGTCCTGCAGGCCCTTCCAGCCCCACTGCAGTTCCACGTGGCCCTGAGTAAGTCAGTAACCGACCTTCTCTGGGGCTGCTCACCTCTGAGGCAATCCTAATGCCCACCATCTGATCGCTTCCCGCCTCCCCTGGCACCCCTCCTGGTCTCTCCTCCACGTTCTTTCCCTTTCCCCAGCTCTGCATCCTTGACTCCCGCTCCTTCGAGGAGCCTTCCTCTTACTCCAGCTCCCAGGTCTTCCCTCCAGCCTCTGCCTTCCCGGCCAGGTCCTGCTCCCCCCCCACCCCATCTCTTCTTCCACCTCATCTCCTCCCCACTATACCCCACTTCCCTGCCCTAGCCCTCACACGGCCCGCTTTGCCCCCCGCAGCACCCTCTCCTACAACACTGGGCACAATGAAGAGGGAAGGGGCGAAGGTACAGAAGGACAGAGAGTTGCGGAGGAGGAAGAGGCAGCTGACTGAGAGCAGGAGCCAGGTCTGGGGCGAAGTGGTAGAAGAGAAGGAGACTAGGGAACCTGGCCTGGAGAGGCCCCCAGCTGGACAGACATTCAATGGAGAGTCAACCCTGGGGAAGAGATGGAACAGAAGGAAGGAAGCGAGGAGGCCTTGAAGGGAACTGAACGGAGAGAAGGATGACGAGGGAGGAGAGCATAGAAAGGGGTCTGAGGGGCACAGAGACAGCCTGGGAAGCAGGGCTGGGCGGAGGTAGATCAACGCTGGGGAGGCCAAGGAGATGAGCCAGGCGGAGATGGAAGACGGCGGAGGAATGCGGATGGGGCAGGAAGGGGCGCAGTGATGGATGGGTAGGAATGGGAAGCGGAAGGCACAAGGACAGGAAGTACAGAAAGGGCGGCAACAGGGGGACCGAGGGAGATGTGTGGGGGGAGGAGCCATGAGTGGTTCTGGGAGCCCACCTAAAAGGTGATGACTAGGTGGAGTTGGGGGGGGGGGCAGAGAGGCTGAAGGACAAAAGGAGAGATGTGAAAGGGCGGCAGAGGGGGCCATGGGGGCACCCGGATGGGATGGGAGAAGGTAGAGGGGCGGGGGTTGGTGGTGAGGTGGGGCAAATGGAGGGTGAGGGTGGGAGGGGGCAAAGGCACTAACCCGAAGGTGAGAGCAGGGAGTACAGAGACAGGAAGCGGAGGATGGAGGAGGCTATTCCGCTATCTTTGGGATGGGAGCCCCGAGGCTGGCTTAGGAATGAAGAGGGACAGACATGGGAGGTAATGGCGGTAGTTACTGAAAAGTGATGGCAGCACGTGACAGGAAGAGATGGAGACACAGAGTATGGAGGGCAGAGATGGGAGGTGACAGGTGCAGGGATGGTGGCCGGAGACTCCTCGTGGGGGGTCCAAGGCAGGATGTGATGAGAGGGGTGAAATGGGGATGTTGGGGGGGGCAGGCATGGGAAGTGATGAGGTTCAAAATGGGAGGAGATGGGAGGTGAAGGAGATTTTGAGGCAAGAGGTGAGGAGGAGGTGGGAGGGGATAGATAGTAAGTAGAAAGGGGCAGAGGGCAGGGATGGAGGGCCAGGAGGGGCCCCTGGGAGGAGCTGGGGGCCTGGGATGGAGCTGGGGAAAACAGCATACGTTTAGAAGTGGCAGGGCTACAGAACTGAGAGGAGCTGGGTGTTATGGACGGAGGATGAGGAGGGAACGGGCAAGGGAACAGTCTGATGGGCCGAGCTCACTGGGAGCCCTGGGAAGGGCAGCAGCGGAAAGAGAAAGGAAGGTTGCAGGAGGGAGGTGAGCCCAGGAGAGAGGTGAAGAAGCTAACCCAGGAGATGGGACATGTCAAGGCCAGAGATGACAGATGGGGCAGAAGTGAGAAGGAGGTTGTGGGAGGGTCAAGGTAGGAAGGTACAGGGGCACAGAGATGACAAGCCAGCCGTGGCAGGTGGAGGTGAAACCCAGAAGCGATGGTAAGGAGCAGGGGGATAAGGGAGAGGATGAGGAAGAGGCCTGGGGGTGTGGGAACTGGCCGGAGAGGGCAGGGGGGCAGGTGAGGGCGTGCTGAAAGACAGCGCTAAAGGTGAGGCCCAGGAGGGAACTGATGGAGGCAGG